ACTCTCGAAGACTCTCACCAGTCTTCCGTTCAAACTCTAGAAGACTCCTCAACTTCTCAGTCTCACCCCTTTATAGTTCTTCCTCAACCTCTTGAGTAACTTCGCAATTGGGCTAAATGAATGTATGCCAATAGCAACTCCACCCAAGCTGCCAACAGCGGTGCTACTAGTACCACTGCTAGTGTTTCCACTAGCTGCAGCACCGCTACGTCCACTAGTACTGCTCTTGATATTCCCACGAGCTTCTTCACAAGTACCGCCACTAACACTACTCCTAGTACCTTCACTAACGATTCCATCTGTACTTCCACTAGTATCGCTTTTGATACCTTCACTTGTACCTCCATTAGTGCTGCTACTTGCATCTTCACTGATAACAACACACTTGTACAAACACCACCTTGGGTAATACATAGGTATTTTGTAGATCGATGACGTCTCCAAGCGTCAATCTCCACAACATAGTATCTTCCAAATTCATGATAGTTATCCATGGGAGGTACCTTCAAATGCTGAAATTATTGCTTTCATGCAACAAAGGGTATGAACAATATAGTGTTACGCAAAACTTGCAGATCCCATCACGTATCAAACTATGGAATAAAGTTGTCCAATTCAATGGTGCCGACTATACTAGAGTTACGTCGTGCGTCCTTCATGGCCCAATATATCCGTCCATGTTTCAAATATACAAAATTGTGACACTTGACAATATCAACATAAAAGACTAGACGTCCGCAACACCATGTACTGCGCATCAAATGATGATATAGGTAAAAGTAACCGATAGATCAATGCACTCCGCGTAAACCCACCATAGTACTCGACAAGATTACTGAATTGCTTAGTGATGACCAAATCTCCAACTGGCACCATTGCCAAATTTCCACCAAGTAGACAAATCTCCATCTGACGTCGTGCTGCACTAAGCTACCCTAGCTTTACTAGCTATGGACAACCTAACCTGCCATCACCGCAAGAAGACTCTCACGGTCTATTGATCATCATTCTAATATCATCGTGATTCAACCACACTATCAACATCACACATGATTTAAAGTAATTCAGAATCGAGCGTCAATCCATACACACGCACATCAAGAAGCAAGACTGGAGAGTATCTAAAAACAAGCAAACATCTAGTAACACTCTCCAATCTAAAAGAAACACATCACATAACAACACAACACTCGTGACATGTCTCTTCTTTGCCTTCTTTGACCTGCCTAACAAGAGCTGAAATGAGTCGCTCACAGCCTTGGTGCTTAGCGGGCAGTTTCATCTTAGAGACCAAAGCGTTGTGCGTCACTGCATCCTTCCGCTCAACTTTGCCAGCTCCATAGCAATTGCGACGCAATGTATGCACTCGCTTACCGACCTTGTGTTGGCGCTCAACACCAGTAGTCGAACCGGGTCTAGATTATACCTAATCATGACGAGCGGTCACATAGATCAGCATGTAGTCCTACATCAGCTCATTGTACATATCGGTAGAATCAATGATTGGATCTACATATCTTCCACCAGTTGCTTGATTGCTTCCCGAAACTACGTGCTGATGGATTCATTGCCGAGCTCAACGACTTCATAAACAAAAGTTTTTGCCATATTGTGAAGCATATAATGAAAGAACATATCATAGACAAAGGCAAGAGCATGGATTGGTGAATAGATGCGGTTTCAACGATAGAACAGTTGTTCAAGCATCTTGTTGCGTTGGTTGCCATGCAGATTGGATTAAATATGGACGTAGATGAAGATGAAACATGCGTCGACTGTTGCCATCGTAGATAACTCACTCTCTATGACGTCGATACATTTGCAGATAGTATCTAAGATGCCGATTGCAAAGTTGACGTTGCACAAGAATTGGAAGTCGATAATTATCCGCTTGAATTCACATGAGAGTTGATATGTCTCATCAATGCAACGTATCTCTTTATCGTTTTTGATGATTAACGACAATGTGATAATCAGACGCTTGATCATCTTGAGACGGCAAAACATATGATTCACATTGGACCAACGTGACGTCAAATAAAGAATGTCTTCTTCATATCAGCTTTCAAGTACTCAACGTACCATGAACAAGGTGCATGCGCAATGATGTTAGACATGCTTTGCAACAACACGTTGGTGGCACCGTCCATTCCAATAATGGACGGCCTGTGCAAGATGACTTCCATTGCAATTTTGCTGCTTGGTGTACTTCTCCGACAGCAAATGTGTACCGATGGCAAAGAAAGAAGTCGTAGTCCACGATGGGTTTAACAGTTTGAATAACTTTTGCCATACAAGTGGATCAAACATGTGGAATGAGTCTTTGTCTCGTTCATCGCGTCAGTCAAAGCTCGATCAATTGCTTTCTCTCCGCTGCAATGAACTCATGAAACCTTCACTCCCAGATCTTCCAAGAAACACTCCTTAGTGGATAAAGAGGCACTGGCTATGTTGCTAGGGACCATTTCTGAGAGGAAGTCCGACTCCATGGACACTGAAGATGACGATGATGGATTTCAAACGACTTATATAAACCGGAGAAGGCGTAGTGCAATTAGATACATGAGTCTTCATGTTATGGCTATTGGCGGAAACGGTCTGATTGCAATGAATGCACTTCACTCTTTTGGTTTTGGAATTTTTAGTGTTGAAGGCATCGCCAAAATGATCATAGTGGGATTACTTCTTCCAACCTGTGTTTGACATTCAATTCAAATTAACTTGTCAATACTCGATCTTGTTTGTTGAGGTCTCCACGGACTCCGTATTGATTATGAGTGTTTGCGAACGTTTTTAAACCTTCTACATTGGGCACTTTGATTTAGAATGGCTTACAATTCACCAACATTTGGAGATCAACGATGAAGACAAGCAAGAAAAAAAGTCTTCAATAAACCTCAAGATTCACATATTTATGAATATTTTTTATCATGATGCTAAAAGTTAAAAAATTGCAATATTTCACTAGAGAATTAAAGGTACTTTAATGGTATCAACACGTTCAAGCATTCAATCTTGAAAGTTGAATTTAGCCAAACTTTGAGTCTTGCTAATTTTGTGAATCTTGACTAACTTGCATTAAGTTTTACTTTAGATGGTTTTTTGATACTTTATTATGATTCTAAAAGGTAATATTCATCTAATTACCCACATGTTAAATATACTTTCACTCAATGCTTTCACTCATCACTCAAATACAACCCTTCAAGATAATTTGTAAACTAAAATGTTTATTGATCAAGCAAATCCTCACAAAATAAACTGTTCAAACTTGCTAAAGAGTCTTGATTCTCTAGCTTTTTATTTATATTGTTTAAAAAATTAATAAATAATGATTATTATCAATTAAATTACTATATTAAAATAAATTTTGATAAAACAATGATTAATTTTCAAACATGGCAACATGACATTGATTTACATGAACCTTAAAGAAGCTTTTTTGTCACTGAGTTGAGGTGATAACTTTGAGACCTTGAAATTTCCAAAAATCCTACTTGCCGTTAGTCAATTTTAGACTTAGTCTAACCAATGAAAATTTGATTATTTAGTTAAACGATACAAAACTATAGTCAAAATATTATTTCTTTAAAATCTAAACTTTGATATGCGATAAAAGAATAATGTAAATTTATAATGTTTAGAAATATATTCTTTAGTCCACCAAGTAGAGATTTAATAGCTACATTTGATCATACCTAGCTAAACTTAGTCAAGACTAAGCTAACCATTATCAATTTTTTGGTTACTTAACTAGTAATTCACACACACAACTATCAATTGTAGGTTTGATTCAAACCAAGATTTCATTATATCATTGTAGTGAAAGAATCTGATCTTTGATGACATAGTTTCGACTTGTAGTTATTTATTCAATCAAAATATTGTACTCCTTGGTAGATGATGTCATGAGTAAAGTTTTTTCACAACTTTTCAACTATGAAAGTACCAAAGAATTTGAGAATTGTTTTCCTACATCTATTATATCTAATTACATCAAAAACATCATCCAAACAACTTTGTTGAATGACTTCAAGTTTTTTAATTCCAATTTAATTGTCATGGTATATATATATGCAGTTGTTAAGTTAGTTCCACTAGTACCATGGTCAAAAGAAACCGTTGTACATAAAAATTCAAGTGAAAGTTCAAATGGATTTCCGAAGAGTTGCAAAATCGGGCTCCAATTTGCAATATGTAAATATGCAAACGATATATTAAAATCCTATAGATCAAAGATCATCACCTTTAGATGAATGAACAATATGTGAGAATAATTAATGAGAGTCCCAACTCACTTTGATTTGAGTAAGCAAATGTTCGCATGAAAATGTTTGTGACAGAAATTAATTGAAAAAAGGAGTAAAATGCAATATGTCCCTCATAGATACTAAGGAAGATTTTCAATGAAGAAGTTCAAGGTGAGTATCTAGAATGAGCGATAGGCTGGACAACTCCCAATCTCCACACTTGCAGATATGTTCGTGCCAATTGCGTGCCAATTGTTTGAAAGAATACTTTGCTTATGCAGCTTTAGAATTGTTTGAAAAATCTAGCAAAAGCTATCGAAATTTTGCGGTTTGGCAAATTGATTGCCAAATTGCATAACTCTATGTGCAGATGTGACATGAAATATGAGATTTTCTCTCATATCTAGACTTGCTCGGATATGCACAGTTAAGACTTGGTTATGAAAGATGTCACCGACCACAAAATTGTTCATCCCACAGTAGTATTTAACACATAGACATCGGAAGAAGCATCAAGTGGTAAAAAACCTGACATGAGTCTTTGATTGTCCTCTATTTTAGCATGGGGTGGAGCAGAGGAGCAAACTTAGAGTGAATTCTTGCAAGTGTTTCTTTAAGTGTAATCCTCGACATGCTAATGCCTACGTCGAAAGTGGACAGGCTTGATGAAGCTGGAATGCTCTACGTTAAACATGACATGCGTCAATTGAAGGGTCGTAAGCACTGCAGCTTGTAGATTGCATACTCGATAACAGAAACTCGTGCATGCCTTTACGTGAAACATATTTTTCTTCCAGCGAATGCACTGACTCCCAAATTGATGGAATGCAGTACAATAATATAAATGGACGTAAAAACTCAGCCTATCAGAATTTACGAGTCTACCTAACTATTCCGCAAGGAGTTTACGCTACTTATAACAGCAATTGGCCGAAACCTTTTCATTACACTACTGTAACTCTGTATTCCTAACCAAATGGTAGGAGCCAGACAACTAAAATACAAGGTGGCAATTGACTTCCACCGGAAGCACTATATTGAACTAAGAGGTGAAGAATTTCACATATATATACATGATCCAAAACTCGTAGTTGTAGGGCTAATGTTTTTTCCATGATAGATACCTCAAGAAACGCCTCCAAGACAACTTCATACGGTTACCTGTTCCCGTCTAAGGGGATCATTGACGGTGGATGAAATACTGGAAATTGACTGCCAGAATGTGGCCAGGTCATGTGGACGACTTGTGTACAGTCCGTCTCGAGCCCAGCTTCTGAGAAATAATCAGGCATATACAAAAGAAGATCCGGTAGGCAATAGCCATGCCCGCAAGGACCAACAATATATTCCATTTCCCAATGTCTGTCACGGCAAATGGGTAGTCCCTTTTGATAGCATCTATACCGGATATGGGTGGGGAACGCCGTGACACTGCATCAAAAGTTGTTGTTTCATACTCGTTTTGTAACAACCCCTGCGCATAGGAGAACCCATTAACCTCAGAAAAGTGGCAACCAAGAAAGATGTCTTGCGACCTTTGAATCTCCAGTGACTAAACTTATGTAGAAACATTTTTACTCAAAGAAAATCCAATCACGTACGTTCCCTTCCTACCTGAAAGAATCCTCTTTTAACTATGCAACGACATTTAGTAAGCGAGCTGAACCATAGAAGTGAACTGAAAGGTCGAAGGTTATGGCCTCCTCATTGTCTAGCATGTGGCGTTTACTCACCTCGATGGCGTAAGCATGAACTGGAAGATAAGAAGCAGGATATTTCCAAACAGGATTAGGCATATCTCCTGAAACTTGATAATACCCCGCTAATACAATCATGAGTACCTGCCAAGTACATGACGCGCACAAATATCAGCATATCGCCTATTGCCACGATAGCGGTAATTTCTCCAGTGGCTAAACTCCGCCCATGTGAGTAAAGGTGGAAATATTATGTCAAGATGCAAAAACCTTATTTTCATTTCTCTGCGTCTAACATCATTTCCTTGACATACAGTTATTGAAATGGTATTCCAGAAAAGATTACAAACAAGCTTTTGTCTTGTCTAGAATGGATTTTTATTCGTTGGGGCATTGAGTGATCTTGAAAGAAGTTTACATGTACCTGGATAACTACAATGGTCAGGATCCCTTCCAAAGCTCTCGGCAATATAGATGCCACGAAGAGCATCAAGCCTTCGATAGCCAAAAGGCATAAAAAGATGTTGACCACAAAGTATACGAACGGGCTAAAGGCCGTTTGGAGACCCATCAGGAAGTATCCAACTGAAGTCGATGTTACTGCGATAAGAAATAAGTAGAGTGCTGAAGAGAGAAGATTCCCTATTGTGTACATTAGGACTCCTGTGTACCCAATCTCTCTTTCATGCATGTGAACCTGCAAAACAAAAGCAAGGCCACAAGCTTATAAGTCACAACAGGCGATTATTAAATGAACTTTGTATTTATCTTCACTGTACATTCTTTCCTTTGTCCATGCGTTCTTTGTGCAAAGGGGCTAGCAAATACATGAGGCAGCCAGAACCATGACGACTTCAAAAAGATAGCTTCGGTATTCAGTGATTAGCGTTTTTTTTTTTACTTTGTACTCAATCAAGCTTGAAGACAGTTGCACTAGAAATTATCTCTATGGTTTATTCGAATGACAATCATAACTAAAGACAAGATGTACGAGGCACCTACCTTTATGTCCTTCAGTATGGATGGGAACCCAGAGATGGCAACGAGTGACAGAGAAGATACAACTGAGAAAATTGCTGCGATTCTTGCCTGAACATCCAACAACACGCGTTACAATGTAGTCAGAATCCCAGAAGTGACAACGGAAATGATGTCGGCTGGTTTAATCTGGAAAGTCAAGGTCGATGAGGATCTTCCTTAGTCTGGGACCTCGTTTGATGCATCCTAAACAAGAAGTAATTTTCAACCTAAGTAATGACAAACTGTTGACGCAAAGAGGAGCAGATGGATTCTGTTCACCACTCACCGATACAGAGTTGTAAGAGTGTCCGATTTTCGAGGCCAAAGAACCAATGCAGATGGTGAGCAACATAGATACAATCAGCCTTAGCCATATGTAGTTGAAATCCCTCCACATATTCAGAAACGACCTCCAAGTCACTATTCCAAGTCTCATAAAAGGACTGGCACATCCTCCTCTGTCAAGAATTGTTTTCTCCTGAAACAACGAATATTTCAGTTGTAGCACCAAACGGTGATAAAGGCACCAATATTCTCCACCAGATGCAGAGAGTATTTAGATGTGCGCAACCATCTGACCGTTGTCTGATTGCAACATTTCGCCTAAGGACCAGCTTTTCTCGTACGCTTTCATAACGGCATTGCAAAGAAGTCCAATCAGATCTTTGGGAGACACATCGGCAAGCAACCTTGATATACTCTATGGTCGTTCGTAAAGCAGAGAAAGATATTTTTGTCTAGATTTTAAGAAAACTCAATCTACTCTCAGCGCTTCAAGTTCTTACGGCTCGCACCCCACGAGTTAGGTCCCTACATTCCATACAGAGAAGGTTCCTATTGTTTTGCTTTTATTACCTTTTCTGAGAGATGGCTGACCATCGACTGTACCAAAGCCGCGTCACCTGAAGCTTGATACATAGTCTCTAAGGTGCGTATGATAACAGCTGTATCCATTTGACCCCACATCTCTCCATGTTCAGAATCCTGTGAAATTGAGAGAAAAGCACATTTCTTAATTGCGTGGAGCATGAAGCGAAGAACGAGGCTGTTGTGGGAAGGATGTAGTTAGCATAGAATAAACATCTCTGTTCTTCTTCCAGTAAAACGAGATGGAATAAAAACAACCAGTACAGTTAAATAAATTATGGACATTTTATCTATTGATGTTTATAAATGGAATGAAACCTGTACACAAGTTACTCATCAATATTAGTAGCATCACACCTGGGCAAATCTGAATGGAGCGTTAACTCGATCATATTCTGTATTGATAGCCCTCAGCAGATGATCAGCCGGGTTGTACATAGCCGGACAGGGCATACCAGCACTGGCATAATGCTGCGAGTAACCAAACTTTGGATCAGAGTATGGGGCCAGAGAAAACCGAGCTTCTTCCAATAATGGTGCATCATATTCCTATGGATCTTTATGTTGGGTGCACACGGTCTTTTTAAGTCTAGACATAGACCTTCATCATACCCTAGACTTGGAGATCGGGTCATGCCTTCTATCCAGAGTAACTCCAATTCATCCGGCGTAAGGGCTTTAACGCAACAATATCAGCTTAGCTTTGAAAGGATATCATATACGCGGCATACTTTATAGTTTAGAATGTACAAAAATTTGGAATCTACAACACCAGAAGAGGCCCGTTGGAATCCTTACCTCAAGTGCAGCAGTGGCCCTACCAAAGAAGATGGTTTTACCAGAAGAAAGGAGGCAAACTTTGTCAAGAAGGTTGAAAACCTCACTATTCATTTGCTCAATAGAGGTTATGACCGTACATCCTTCATTTGTCAACTTCTTCAGCACGCCCATCACTACAAATGCTGATACACTGGATCATAAAAGAACTGTCACAATTAGCGGGTTTACTGCTACAGGTAAATACAAATTCATACGTGAACTGTATTATGAGTGTGTAACGAAAGATAAACCAGATCATGGATTAAAGCTTTCCTGGATTAATCATGAGCTGATTGGATTTAATCATTTGCGATTAAAACGGTTCCTAATCGATTGCTCATCTGAAAGATAAAAAATTCCTCTGAGAAAAATCACCCCACCTGTCAAGGTAGTCAACTGGGTGATCCACAAAGACCAACCATGGCTTCGTCAGGAGCTGCAAAGCTATACTAACTCGTCTCCGCTTTCCTCTCGTAAGGGCTCCAATTTCGCCACACTTCCCAATACGTGCTCCTGATAGATCTTCAAGATCCATCTCTGAAATTAAATAATCTACTCGGGCTAGTTTCTCGGAGCACGGAAGCCTGTCTGGAAGTTGAAGAAGGGCAGCATAGAAAAGAGTTTCTCGAATAGTAAGAGTTTCAATGAGTTCATCCTGCTTCTTCACGTAAGCCTGCATTGTTGGAACTGATAGAGTCAGATGTTATTAAAAACAGTGAAGCTCGAAACACTGAAGTCCAGAAAATACTCCAATGTTTCGAAGCTTTACTGCCAAATGTAAATAGGCTAGTAGGTCAATCTAGTCGAGAACTACTCTACTACTTGCGGCCGTTTACCAGTGTAAGCGTGAGGGAAGACTTGGATCACACGTCGAAACCCTAATCCCATATTTTGCCACGATTTCAAATGTGAACAGGCACCTGTAAACTAGTTCATTTCAAGACATTCGATAGGTGAGAAATTATCTTACGTAGGTGCGATTCCTGAATTTTCGAGGGTGGCCATTCAGAAGAATTTCACCGTATACTTTGGCGGTAGTCGGAAGCTTTCCTGTCAAACACAAGATACAAGTTTGAGATGGCTGGTTGCACACTTGGGATACTAATAAAATCCTAATCCTCGAACTAAGCGGAGCGGAGATAACCTTTCCAGTGCATTTGGCTACTCACTTCGTGGAAGATGGTGATCAATTGACACAGCAGTTACTGATAACGCATGCAACGTTCTCTCAAATACTACTTCAATATTGGGCCCTTAGCGAACGGCTCTCAACTACTATTTCTTCCTCGAAGAAGAACCACATTTTACAATCTAGGCAGAAACGGAAAAGAGGACACTGAGTTCTACACGTTCTCCTGTTGTCCTTACATATGCAATCTATAAGATTGAGTACATGTCGAGATCTGGAATAGATAAAGTGGACAGACCTGCCAACGCCTGCAATAGTGTGGAAACTCCAGATTCGGGTGAACCCATGAGTGCCAACATGGAACCCGGGCGAGCATACCCAGTAACACCCTGCACAGCCTTACTCGCAGCTCCTTTCCTCTCGGAGACGGTGATTGTCAGATCCTTCCACACAATGGTGGCTCCTTTTTCGAACGTTTTCGATACTTTCCTTGAAAGATGAGATTTAAGAACTCCATTTGGTTGGCTTGCATCGGAGCTTTGAGACGCACTCAAGCTAGCTCTACTACTCTTGGTTTCTTCTCTAACCTGGCCCATGAGAGACTTGAATGTGGGAATCCTTTCTGTAAGTGACTTCTGTTTAACTGGTACTGACTGGACTGAAGTTACCGTCGCTGCTCGCTGATTTCGTATCATGGAAAACGGAAAGGAGAAGTGAGTAGTATGCTCGGAATTTGGTGGTGCCTCTGACACTGTGCTTTCTGACCCTGGAGAATCCGAGAACACCGAAACCGACGTCATACCCACTGAATAGATAAAGCAGCTGATCGATAAGTGCTCTTTCCGTTGTCTATTCTCCTCCAAAACAATGCTTTCGATCAAATCACTGAAATCGGAGTTGTTTATGAAAGAGATGCTTGTCGTGTAACGAACATCTCCGAGTATTCGCGTTGATCAATGTCCAGAAGCACGCAACCCGGATGTCCCAGATTCAGACTTGCACTTCAGCTCTGAGAGCTAGTTCACTGCTCACACTCGAAGATGAAGTGCATATCAAAACATTGAAGTAAATTTAGGTAAGCTTGTGTTCGACGTGCCAAGGATTTCTCCTCTGAATGGTTTGCGGAAGCAGGCGCTTCTCAGCTGGCAACGTTCAACCGGGACTTTATATCCAATTTTTCTGCGATCTGCTCAATTCGCAGGCATGAAATCCTACCTGCAATCAGATGGGAAGTAAGATTATTGGAAAATCTCCACATTGGTAAAAAGAACGTCAGACATGGCCTCCGGATATCCTGTTCTTGATGCGGCGTTACCATAAGACGGGCCTTCGCATCAAGTTATAGCTATCGCTGGGCGACAGCACGGCATGTCTAAACTCCAGAAGCTCATATATTCAAACTACATCAAAGTCTTCCACTGTCCACATACTTGGACCTACATCGACTTTGTCGAGCATGTTCACATGCGGCCAAGAGGAATATCGCATTTAGAGCAGTTTTCCGTTTGCACTCTACTTCAATTTTCAAATTTATATCAGTGGCTGAAGCGAGTACGATTTCCTCAATCCTGGTTGCAAATTCGAATATTCGGCAAACGTAGGAAGTCTTCAGAAACTAGATGCAGGCTTGGAATGGAGTTTCGTGTACATGTGTTTACATGAACAGGAGAATGAGAAATACATCACTCTTCGACAAGTATGAAAATGTCGCTATTGAGGGATGCTAATGAACACAAGAAGAATGCTTGCACCATGTAAAGATGAGTAAAGCCCGAATTCTTATATCCACGCTTATGCTCAGCAAGGCTAGGGACATCCAACGTAAAATTCTTACAGCACAAACAAGAAACACCAGCTAGTAAAATGGTGTAGAGTAGAGCTCGCAGCAAGCGGGACGCAACCTGAACAACAAATTAAGTGATTCTTTTAAGGTTTACGATTTCTTCTCTCTTCCGTTCTCGGCACTCCTTACCCTTGGCAGGCAGGAAATGCTGATACCTCATTGTCGATTGTAAACCTCCAAATATGTTGGAGACAGTAATCTCCGATGGGCCAGTTGAAGCACGTGGACGCACATCACATACGGACGAAAAGCTACGGGTTTTAGAAGAAATCGGCAAGTTTCGAACTTCTGTGACGACGAATAAACTGTTGACGCAAGTGCGCAGGACCGATAGCCAGTGTCTACCGAGTTGCAAGATAGACTGGCAGTGTCAGAAACATTTCTATGTGACCAATTATCATGCAGAAATGGACCAATGCAGCACAATTTGCAACTATTGAAACGAGCAAAAAGTTCAGGATTCTACTCTTGACCCTATCTATCTGAATCAGGAGATTGCATTCACACCACTCGTGCTTTGTCGACAGAAATGCTTCCCGCACACGTTAGACCATTCTGTGCGGCAACTACGTCGTGCAAGGACCACTCGAGCTACAACAAGAGTGTCCAAGCACCACTGCAGGAAAAAAGAAGAGAATTCGACTCAAACAGAAGTAGGAGGAAAAGACAACAGAACCAGCGCATCTTCAGGTGAACTGCTACTGTAGTTAAACGATTCTCTCATGCTTCACACAATGCCGTGAACGCTATCGCGGAGCTGTGGCAATCTGCCAGTGTCAGTAGTACGCAGACAACGTGGGCACGATTGCTCGATCAAGAACGCCGAAGTCGGCAGATGAAGTCGAGGCACAAACGGCGTCACCTCGCGCTCTCCCGCGCCCACCGTGGGTCTCACACCTGTATTCCAAACGAAGCTGCAACGACTAGTGGCGCCATCGTGTGCAGCACACCCAAAAATAAAAGATAGCGGCTGCAAAAGTGTCGTAAATCACCTCAACAAATCTCCCGTCGATTCCGCAGTTTCCGCGAGCGTTATTCTGGACGTGAACGTCGACGCTGCTCGAGCGAAAAGATAAAGCTGAGCAGGGCGGACAAAAAGGAGCGCAGCATAAATATCAGTCAGCAAAGGTCGACGAGGCAGGAATTTCATCCATCGCAGAAACTCCAAACGCTCGCACTACAGGATACGAAATGGGCCAGATTTGGAGGTCGCTCCGACCGCGAGCGAAAGCAGCTGAGATCGGGACAAATTTAGAACGAAAAAGCAGATGAAGGCGTAAATCCGAACGCCGACAACGAAAAGAGTCGAAAACTCGAATCCTGCTCTTCCTCCTCACCATGCAGCGATTCTGCTACAGCAGAATGTGGCTCGATCGTGCTGCATGGAGCATGCCCGCAAAAAGCCCAAGAACTGCAACAGCGTCGCTTTCCCACTCCACGCCACGCTCGCAAAGCAGCGCCAAGCGCCCAACGTCCGCGTCCGAGCGCGCCCGTTCCTCCGCCTTCGCCCGAGCGTCGTCGTCCGTCGTCGAAGCAAAGTCAGGCGCTGCAGCAGCGGCCACCTGCGAATGCCGGATACATACAGGAACCCATTCGAGCCCCCGGGTTCCTGACGGACGTATTTCTCTCATTCGTACGCGCTGTCTGAAAGCCGGATAAGACCACCTTCCGGTCTCCCATGCTTTCCGAACAACCTAAGTACCACGTATGGTCAGGGATACTCGAGATCGACGACTCAGGAGCTCTCTTGCCTCATCGAACGGTGCAAGTCTGTAGTCGCGAATCTCGTCGGGGCCTAGTTCGAGTTCTTGTCCGTGGTCGGCTGTGAGAAACTGCAGTATGGTCAGAAGGCGCATCCAGTATTTCATTCCTTATGTTGCAATAAAAAGCTGTTCCCGCGCTGCGGGGCGTGTTTTCGCGGAAAGCCCCCGGAGGCATGCCAGACAAGAACGTATCTAGGAACTGGGACGTAGTTGTCCGGTGGACAGGTCGGACCTGCGTGGGCGAGGTCTTTTCCAGGTGACTCGTGACCTAGGATTTCGGAGTCGGACTTTCCCCGAATATCAGAGATTGGGGAAAAGAAGAAGCTATTCGTCGCAGCCTTATGCCGCCGGACTCACATACACTCATGCCTGCGCTTGACATACGAACCGTACATTGGAGTGCTGGTCCGTATGTTTATCCCAGTCGACCAAGCGGTCCCAATTTAGGGAAGATTTGGCCGACTGATCGCCGTTCTTCGGCGGGATGCCGAGTCCTGTTTAGCTACACTAGTCAATTCTGGCCGACCTGAAGTCCGCTGTTATTCTTACGACGTAGACCTTCTTTATAAAGGTATGAATCACGCACCCAACCAGGTTTATGAATACCCGATAAGTTTGCACCATTATGAAAGTCTCTCGGGGGGCCGAGTCGATAACGAAGGCCCATCATGAAGGAGTATAATGCTTCCTCATTGGCGTAGGAGGTTGATAGATTTACTCGTCGTTGGAGGGTATTCCCGGATTCTAACAGTACTCATACCGTATTCCTCTGCTTGGAGTATACAGTAGTCCAGGAAGCCATACGTATGATCAGACCGGGTGTAATAGATTGACACGTGTTCATTTGTTGCTTTGGAAACGTGCTCCATGCGCACAAGGCACTTGTTCTCAAGTGCTCAGATCAGAATAGGAAATTCATTGCCCAGAGAGAAACTTTGTTTTGTACCTGCCCGATATAGCAGCTGTAAGATTTACTGCAGCTACAGCCAAGCGTATCATCCGATGTAGTACCGAGTCAGAAACATCTAAGGCATCACCTTTTCCGAGATCCTTCTCGTTAGAATGCCTTCTCGTTATTTGATTCTTTCGGCGAAGTGTTCCAGCTTCAGGCGGACAACACATTCTGCCTGAGCTAGATGGTCGACTTCAATAGAGTGATCAAATATTCTTCGAGCTGATCTGGACGGCTCACTTGTTGCGATCACCGGATTTCGGATCCCTGAATTTTTTCTTCAATAATTAAAAGCGAAGAAAACATACCACATAAATCCTTTTCTACAACGATGACAATGCAGTTGCTAGTGCGTGATATGTGTAATGTCAAGCAAATAACCATGAAAATGAGTTATCAGAACCATCTTGAATAGGTCGTAAACGAGTGCATTTTCGACTTTTTTGTTATCTTCTTTATTGTTTGCGATGTTGATAACATTACAAAGTCTGTCTTGAGAACCGAAGTTCCTGTTCTTTGACTGAGTATGGATCACAACAAAGTAAAAATCATTCGGTTAGCTGCATTTGAAAGTCATATTTCATAATAATAAATCTATTTTGTTTTCAAAAAATGTTGTATGATTATGCTTCCAAATTCATCCAAATAATTCAAAATATAAATCTGATCTATTAAATTATCTTATTTTAATTATTATGAATAGAATCGATGCATTATAATATTGACAACCCACGTCTAATTTACTACCTTTTTTATTGAACTCCTGACCCAGCAATATAACGTTTAATCTCTCTTTCACATCCTTTGCATCCTCACGGTTCTCATGCTATGACACAAGAACTGTGACAAAGTCTAAGTTGCTCTTGAGCAGTTTCGATTGCAACCTCGCAGTGAGGATGAGGATACTGTTAGAAGAGTGGGAAATTGATGATTGGTGTAGGGTTGAGACACAAGGGGTTCTGCGAAGTTAAGTAGATTTATTGTGGCAAGCATGAATACGAGGAAGTCCGGGGCTAGCCGATGCATACTCAGACGACGAAGATCATGAGAAGAGTTCATGACACGCCTATGATTGATGATAACGGTAAAAATGTGGCCTAACGAAGAACACTGTGGCAGGGTGAAAAGAAATCCAGAGGTGGTGATGGGGACAAGGATAAATATAGTCACCGAGGTAAAAACCAGAAGGGTTATTGATAGTTGGTAGGTGAAGGATATGAAGGTTGTAACTTGGATCGACGCGTGGCGGTAATGGCAGATCCGGAATTCGTAAAATATATTGACAAGTGGCAACGTAAGAGACTTTGCCCACAAGGCGGAGTCCGGACATGGAACCTCCAAGAAATTTGAGGAAAATACCTTTTTCATGCACACCGTTATAGGTTGTCTCCATGGAGCATCACTTCTCACATCAATCCTGGAGCATCTAGTGCAAGTTGCATGGCAATACCAACACGCTGGAATCCATGCAAATTGAGGAAGCACTGAAATGCAGTTGTCAATCCCATGAGGTTTCTTTGCGCAAGCAAGGGTATACGGAGGTGTTTGGACTCCTGTCTTCTATATGGTGTGGTCACTGAGTCGGGATGGATATCAACCATTTCAGGGTTAACTTCGAATTAAAAATTGAGAAAAATCAGATCACCTCTCTCCTGTAACGAGCGACGTGAACACTGGGAACCACTCATTGCCTGGGCCGTACGATCTACCGAGTGCTGTAGAGTCATTAGAGAATCACAGGATGCAAGGATAGAGTCCTACTCCAGCTTCATTTTGATCCAGGACGCTGTTAGCGCAGTGACCACAATTACAAATGTGTATATTTTCTGGCTATTGTGTGCACAGGTTATGAGCTCTTCCTCATAAGCTGTAACATGGACATTGTCTAAATTGAGGGCTGCTTTCCCTTGAATCTGAGTTGAAATTTGTTTCCACCCTTCTTTAGGAGGGGTCGATGTTTCCTTCTGAGAACAATGGCACAGTATGGATTCCTCTTCCGGCGTTATATCTTTCAGTAACAAAACATACAAGCGAAAAATCAGCACCAGGAAATAGATAGCAAAGAGTATAAAGAATCTTCATCCAAATCTACATGGACGAAACCGATATAGCAAAGTGATGCTACACCACGTTTATATGATAAATATTTCAAGGTGTATCTAAAACATCAAAATATCTTACTACAATAATGTACATATTATAGAAATTTACCAACGATTTTCGTTGAAGTACAGCAACTGATATATCTTAGATTTTAAGAGTTTATTAAGATAAATAAACCTCGTTATGTTCTGAAATAATTTTCTTACACAATATATAATGCATAGTACTGTAGCCTCCCTTCCAAGTTTTCTCCAAGACGTTCAAGTTGGTTAATATAGCTCCATCTAACTTTAAAGTTGGAGGATTTAACGGAGACTCTATGTATTACTCAATATTTCGAGATTTCTGTTTTAAAAATTAGATTCGACACAGAATTTTAATTTAGATCACCAGAAGATAATTTAGATTTACATGTGAAATTTTCTTATTAACTAGTCGAACCAGTATTAGGGCTATTGTAAAATAAACGGGCATAAATCGTAAAGAGTCGATGAATTAGCCATCATACACAGGCAATATGTGTGGGAAAATGGGGATCAGCTAGTTAGACTGTAAAATTATAATCTTTGAGCGTCCCATGTCGTACAAGGCAGCAAGGGAAAATAGAGCTATCGCCCCTTGTCCCGCGTCTTATCCCAGTGGCACATTAAAACCAGGGTCATCTGAATGGTCGGCCAGTTCGCAAAGACAGAGACTCAATCCGACTGCGAGACGCAAACGCGTTTCGAAAGTCAGGGCACTGCAGCAACGCATCAGAATGTTACTAAACGCGAACAGTCAGAACCTGACGCTTTCGTCAGTGAACAAGGGGGAGGTACAAGCGCTCACTCTACGCAGCGATCTGAACCAATGGACATTGGACGTACCCCAGACCCGACAGGTGGCGCAAAAATCTGGTTAAGCAAGCACACAGCATCTTTCTTCCATCTTAATTATGCTTGCAGAGTTAGACTCAAAAATCCTTGTAGGATCATTTGATAAGCCATCTCATTACAGCAGCCTGTTTGGACAATCGGACCTTATTAGCCATCATTATTGGCCATGGCAGTACTTAGCGGTGTCGGAGGCAGGGAGCAGCGATTGTTCCTCCAAGCCTGACACATCGTATGCTACACTGTACAATTTCGGTATATACCACAATCCTGCTAATCCGATTGTTCTTTATACAGTGGGTATATCCGTCAACTCTGATATCTCTGATGCGCCTATACTCAATGAACTATCCGTTGGAATACTCCTAGAACACGGGGAGTATATCTTCATCCGAGAAAAGGAAATATACGAACGTGGATACCGCATGCCATATCCTTCTGACTTCTTGGAGAACTGCACGAGAAGATTGCATCGATGCGGAACCGACATAGTCTCTTTTACGGCCAGGAAGATTTGCAATGACCTTGGACAACTTTTCATGCTGCAGTATCGACCCATCTGATCTTTGAATTGTTCTTAGTTCTATCCTCGAGTATATATCTACAGCATCACCATCTGGATTGGACTTAGACCATGGTAATGATGTGACCGACTTCGCACTCTCATTGTCTGGCTTCAGGTTCGACAGAGAAGAAGACCCAAGGCCGCTGGATGTGGGAGCTTGAGTACCTGAAATCATACTCACTACCTTTGATTTATCACGTGTGTGAAAGATGAAGAACTCGATGACGTACCAAGCTTCCCTTTCAAAACTCGAAGCATGTTCAATCAGCTATATAATTGGAGAATTTATGGGTGG